TATGAGAATACTAGTACACCATTACATGAAGCAGCTTGGAGAGGATTAAAAGATGAAGTACAATGGCTTCTTAATGAGTTTGGCTACAATACGTATCATCGTGGTCTTTATGGTTGGACTCCAGTACACTCTGCATCATATGGTGGACACATTGAGATCCTTCAACTACTCATCCATCAGTATGGTATTGATCCTAATGAAGGTGATGATAATAGTGTATCTAGTATACATATGGCATCTTATAAAGGCCACTTATCTATAGTAGAATATCTAGTAGACACGTGTCACGTTCCTCCTGATCAACCAGACAATAGCAATAACACTGCATTACTGTACTCAGCAATGGGAGGCCATTCTGACCTAGTGAAATTCTTTATTGAGAGAAATTGTAACATTTCTCAGATTAATTGTCATGCTGCTTCAATATCAATGTTAGCTTGTATAAGTGGAGAGTTAGCATTAGTCCATAAGCTTGAAGCTAAAGGTCTCTTTATATCAAATTCTTCTGATTTTTATGGACTTAGCATATTGCATTACTCTTCTATGAGTAATAATGTTGAGCTTTTCAAGTATCTTTTAAATCGATATCAATTACCAATTGATGTAAAGGATAGATATGGCCGGACTCCACTTCAGTTTGCGTCATGGTTTGCTTCTTCACAAGTTGTTGAGTATATTATTAGCATTCAAGGTAATGAAGCATTGCTAGTTAATGATAATGATAATGAATACTCATGTATACATTATGCTGCTTATGCAGGTATGCAATTTCCAGCTGGTCTTGTTTATAGTAAGTTTTTTGCACAACGTGATGCACCAGTTATTGAGATTATTAACAATACTACGATCAAACAAAACATTGATTTTATCAAACAAAATGAAAGAGTTAAAATGTTTTCTTCACTTCTCAGAAAAGCTAGCACTTGCCCTAACTTTGATGTCAATGCCACTACAAATGATGGTCAGTCATTGCTTCATTTAGCATCAAAAAGTGGCAATACATTACTCATAAAGAAATTAGAAGAACATAATATTAATGATGCATTAGGTAGGTCTCAAGTACATAATGCTGCCTTATCAGGTTCTACTAGTGCATTAATGTATCTCAATGCTAACAATACTCATTATATTGGTGAAGTACCATTAGCCAACTCCTGCCAGTCAGGTAGTATCAACTGTGTTAAATATCTTATTAATAATCATAACAGTGATCCTAATGTTATTGTTAATAATGGTATTACATGTCTTCATTATTCTTGTCGTCATGGTCATATTGATATCACTCAATATCTCATTGAGGTACAGAATTGTGATATTAATAAAACAGATAATAAAGGACGCATGTCTGTACATTATGCTGCATGGAGTGGTAATTTAGATTTACTTCAATATCTTATTACTGAACAAGGTTTGTCTCCTACTGCAGTTGATGAGAATGGCCTCACTGCTTTACATTATGCCTCAGTGTCTCTTAACTTATCTCTTGTTAAAGAATTAACAACTACCTATCAGTTAGATCCAGGGGCGGATCTAGGATTTAATTTTTGGGGGGGCAATTGTGAGATGGGAGGGGTAATTAGGGGGTGTGGTCAACTAAGCTTGTGCAAAACTTTTGGGAAAGTAAAAATTATGAAGACTAAGCCTGCTAAAATGAGACCCTTTGTGGTTTAAAGAGAGTTTACATAGTCCAGTGCTGCAGCTGCTTCACAGTTTACACAGGTAAACCAAAGTTTATATTAC